GAGAGCGCACTAAGGGGACTCCAAAACGTAGGTATTGAATGGACAGTTGGAGGAAAGCTATGCAATTTAGAGTACGCCAATGACATCGTCTGTTCGAATGTATGGAGGACGAGCAAAACGCACTTGATAGACTAACAAGTGCACTAGTCACATTCGGCATGTGCTTTGCACCTTCAAAGTTCAAAGTGATGCTGCAGGACTGGGTTTCGTCTACTTTCGCTCTGAAACTAAATGGCCAGGAATTAGTTATGGTGGATTATTTTTCCTACTTAGGTAGTTGCGTGACCAATGACGGTAACGCAACAAAAGAGATAACCGCCCGCATTTTCAAGGCTCGAGCAACATACGCAGGACTGAAACACCGTTGGCGTAGAAGCGACGTTTTACTGAAATTGAAAGTTCGTGCATATTGTGCTAGCTTTCGTTCAGTCCTGATTTATGGCTGTGAGACCTTGAATCCGCGAGTAGAAGATATCCGTCGACTAGAAGTTTTCGATTATTGGTGTTTACGCAGTTTTGTCCACGTCAGATGGAGCGAACGGATTAATATCTTGGAGGTAAGCCGTCGTGTGTTTGGGAATCTATCAGGTATTAACCTGCTAGCACACCGAATTCAAATTAATAGACTGCTGGCTTGGGCCCATATTGCGTATACCGAACTGTCGTCTTCCGCACCGCGCTTTATTCGCCGTAGCTAATCCGGGCTGGAGGAAACCACGTGAAGTTCAACAGATGACGTGGGGACGGGGTATGAAGAAATGCACAGAGTCATTAGGTATAGTAGGTGTCTCTCGCCCTCCAGGTTGGGGTCCGAAAGACTCCACAACTGGTTGGTTGGAGATGTTGAAGGATATGGCAGCGAACCGGCAGCTGTGGCGTTCTTGTTGTCGTTTCTTATCAGGTCAGAATGCTTGAAACGGTATGTATGCAGAATTCGATTGCGTACTCACCTTCTCCCTCCCTCAACATAGATCCAATCCCTGTCTACCTTAAATTTTACCACTAACCTTGTATGCATTGGAGGTTTGGCAGCGTACAGTGAAGTTCACTTCACTGTATTTCGCTGCACGATGATGATGAAACGAGAATCAAAAAGCTGGTTCTAGCTTGAGTGTTCTTACATTCCCATATACAGTATGTCCTTGGATCATGGGGTTCAACCCTTTAGTGTATTCACTTTCGTATAATAAAAAAATACTGCCGCTTCACAAGCACTGATGATGTCGCCTCGGCTGGTGATGAAACGTTTGCAAACAAATTGCCAAGCTCGACGAACAAGCGAAGTGGAATGCAATCCGCTCTTCTTATATATTCGAACGGTTTTTCACTTTTAATTTTCCATTTAGAACTAAAAAATTGTGAACTTTCTCATGGGAATTTATGTTTACCGTGTCGTGTAAGATTCGTCGTCATTCCCCATTAAAGTTCATCTGGTTAATAATTTTGTCATATAAGCTGTTTTATTTTAAATCACATTTTTGAGCTCTTGACGTTGTTACTACAGCTAGTGAGTGAGATAAAGACAACAGTGTGAAGTTAAATTCGCTGTTTTGGCATTCCGTGGTAATTTCGAATTTATGAATGATCATCATATACCACTCCGCACCTCAAGAATCTTCATCCACTTTATCTGTTTTTACCCCACAGTGGTTTGCGATGTTTAATTATGATCATGTACAACACATATTGGGCAATTCTGACCCGCGAAACGTTTGGAGACATGTGGAACCGAACAGTCCGCAAACGGGGCCGCGATCGACCGGCTATTTACTTCGAAGATCAAGTGTGGACCTACGATCAGGTGGACGGTTATTCGAACAAAGTGGCCAATCATCTCATTCAAGCAGGATTTAAACGTGGAGATAAAATATTTCTCTTATTACATTCCTCTCCTGCCTATGTGGCGATATGGCTTGGAGCTGCCAAGGTATGACTTTTCGTCACCCTTTTGAATTACGTTGTTTTTCATTATTGCATCCTCACTGCGCCTCAACGTGATGTGATGGCTTCTTCACCTCTCTGATCCAACAAAATATACATTGTGGCTTTTGTCAAGCCCAGGATATAATGATGCATCATCATAATCATCATCATTTCCTAGAGTGGCCTCCCCAAGGACTGGAGTGGATAGTCAAGGGAAGCCAAGAGGTGCCCAGGCAGCTGACTTTGTGAGACTGAGCTTTGTCTGGCCTCTACCAGTTGACCTTTCAAGCATGATTGGATCTACGGCTATGGAAAGCCATCCTGTGTAGCTCGCAGGGTCATGGATGCACGCAAGGCATTACACCACGTCAAGTTGCAGTCTCGTCTTGATGGATTGCAGTACTATTTGGCAACGACCTTTGACGAGTGACCGTCAAGTTGTCTGAGGGAATGTTACGGGTCGGAAGAAGAGGTAAAGGCAGAGGGTCGGGTACGGAAGACGATGAGTGAAACGAAGGTTGGGATATCTGAGCAGTAGCCCACTTATCACTAACCACCCCGCTCGATGCAACGGGAAGCGCGGTCCTGGTCATCCTGCGCGACGACCGATGTAGTGTGAAATTACTGTTTGTGTTCATTGGAGCTTTGTGACCGGGTACTGCCAGAGTCCAACCGCTAAGCAGGAAAACGATTAGGGTTCTCAACCAAAACCTTTAGTTCTGACAAGAACCTAACCGCAAGGCAGCGGTCAAGGCCGGTTGGAGGCCCACTAACTTGGATCACTTACTCCGCCAATACATTTTAACCCCTGAGACGCCAACTCAAGTCGAACCCATAACCTGGAGGACCAGGAAACTGGACTTTGTCTGACCTTTACCTATTAACCTTCCAGGCATGATTGGATCAAAGCCTCGACAGAAACCATCCTGTGTGGCTTCTTGGGTCACAGGGGTGCACAAGCCACCACACCAAGTCAAGTTGCCGTCTCATCGTGCTCTTCTGTCTCCCGTACGCAGCCCTCTCTTTGCTCCTTCTTCCGACCTGTAACAGTCCGTCAAGCAACCTGAATGACGCTCGCTGCAGGTGGTTGCCATGTAGCTCTGTAAGTGATTTACCACGAAATGGATTGCAGATTCCGAAGCCTCGTCAATAGCTGAATCTGGGGCCTTCAACGTGGGGATTCTGATGTAGGTAGATCAACAAGCGTGTCTGGCGCGTACAATGAAATCCTTGAGGATCGATATATACTGCATATTGGAGAGTCAAATTCAGGATCCAACTACTATAAGCCACTGGAGCACGCAAGATTTGTCCTCGAAGTATGTTCTTCGCGCATCAAGCGACGACGAAGCCCGTCCAGTAGGTCAGCGTGGGGTAGCTATTTTATTCATTAACAGGGTCGAGTGCTCTCTTATCGGTTGAATCGCTTTCAGCAGTCGTTTATGTGCAATGCATCTCCAGGGTTCACTCAGCGTCCGGAAAGAAAGCAGTTGCAAAAGGTGTTTGTTCGGCATATGCACCGACCAATAGCAGTTCTGATACACAAAGGTTGGTTTCTTTAATAAACTCACCGAACTCATTCGGGTGGGTCTGAGTTCTGATATGGTTGTACTTTCAGGTGATTTAAACGCGCAGGTTGGAAAACTAAGCGTGTCGGGAGCTTGTCTAGGTGGTCGTTGTGCTCTACCCTACCGGCAAACAGATAACTAGGATTGACTTCTTCGATTCTGCACAGATCATCATCTATTCCTGTCCAGTACCTGTCCGACACAGCTCTCGACGGACGGCAACGTAGCGCTCCAGTTCAACAGGTATGCTGACTCAAATCGACCACATAGCAGTAAGCTACCGTTGTTGTGACTCTGCAAAATTGCAGGCTCTATTAGACCACCGGAGTTGAGTCTGACCACGTATTAGTTTTGATGCAGTTCACTCTTCGACCACTGGTCGACGATAACACCGGCAAAGTCGGTTAGCTCATCATTGCCTGACTGTTCTAACAGTTCATACACACACACACACGCACACACACATTCTCTATATATATTACAACGGCTTGTAGACAAGCATGGTGCCAACGCCACAACAATGATAACATTAAAACTTATAGTAGGCAAGTGGATTGGGATACAGAACAAAGTAGTAGATATCTGGGATAACAAAAATGTTTTTTGTGTTTCATCGTACACTTTTTGGTAGTCTTTTTGTGTTGTTTGTTGTTTTTACGGGGTTCGGGATTTCGACAGGCAGACCGTACAGCATTCGCGCCACTGACTTCTATTTTGGACCAAATCTCTCAGCGTCTCTAACCAACTACAATCCTCATCCCTTGGGCCCCAACTTGGATGGCGGGCTGCACCAACCGAGACCAAAGCTGAAGCCAGCTTCTTCATACCTCTACGCCATGTCATGGTCTGACCACCGCGGCGCTTCTTCAAACCTTGCCCGGCACGTGCCAAGAGAGCGCGGAAAGGTAGTCGATGGGCAGGTATACGCAATATGTGACCAAGCCATCGGAGGCGGTGTAGAGCGATTACTTCTGTTAGAGAACGATTATCCACACCCAACACAGGACGACGAACCTCATCATTACTCACCCGGTGTTCCCACCAGACAAGAGCAATACTTCGAAGACGTTGGTGGCCGAATACAGAAAGACGATTCGCATCCTCAACGCGGAGAGGCCAGGTCTCGCAACCGTAAAGGACAACGCTACGAACCGCGGCGATGTACACCCTTTCCTTAAGGGATATTCAGATGTCTTGGCGGCGCAACAAGTGTTGCAGGTTGGCGAAAGCTGCTCGTGATGTGATCTCCCCAATACCGCTGCGATCAAGCTCCCGAGGTACTTAAAGCTGGCAACTACTTCTAGCTGATCATCACGGAAGGTGGTTGAAGGCACAGGCTCCTGCCAGTCTTGAACAAGCACTTTGCACTTAGAAGGTGCAAAGCACATACCATACCTGCATACCTCGATCGCCAAGTGGTTCAAAACGTTTTGGACTGCCTGTGTGTTGTCACCCAACAAGACGAGGACATCGGCATATTCTAAGTCGAGGACTCTGTTCCCTGGAAGGAGTTCGATTCCACCGTTTGCCAGACCGGGTTGGATGGAGCGAGCTTGTAAGCAACTCTGAGGTGAGGCGTCGCGTATTTGGTAATGATTCGATGGAGAATTCTTTGTCCCATCGAATTCAGATTAGTCGGCTTCGTTGGTTAGGACACGTATTGCGCATGTCCAGCTATCGTCTGCCGCACCGCACCTTATTAGCAGTTACGGCTCCAAGTTGGAAGAAACCGCGTGGTGGTCAACAGATGACGTGGAAGCGAGACATGAAGAAATGCACAGGGCGATTCGTTAGAATCGGTGTTTCCCGTCTTCGGGGTTGGGGTCCGAAAGACTCTATAACTGGTTGGCTGGAGACTTTAAAGGATATGGCGACTGACCGATAGCAGTGGTGCTCTTGTCATTTCTTAACAAGGCAGAATGCTTGAAAAAGGTATGCATGAACACTTAGATTGTGTACTCTGTGTTGAACATAGAAGTTCTTTTTCTTTGCCTCCCTCCAAGGAGGCCCAATGCCTCCTCTTCACTGTATCTCGTTAAACGATGATGATGATGAAATTGGACTAAGCATTCTGTACAACATCCTCTGTGACAAAGGTGAAAAGCAATGGAGATATAGGACAGCCTTGTCTGAGACGGCGAAGGGTAGTGAAAGTTGGCCATAGGCCCTAACCCGACCTGAGGTATGACGATACAACTCTTTCAGGATCGACACACATCTCAGGTACTCCATTCCTCAACAAAAAGTTTCATAGTGCGGTCCTATCGACAGAGTCGAAGGCCGTGCGGATGTTTAAGATTACAATGATTGTTGGTCTTTGGTAGGCATGACGGTGCTCTAGTAGCTGTCGAAGGGTGAAGATTTGATCGATGCATCCACGACCAGTGCGAAATCCAGCCTGCTCCTCGCGGGTCTGCTCCTCACGCATAGTGTGCAGTCGGCGGGTGTACACTGAGAGCTAGTGCGTAATGTAAACGATCAGTGGATTCAGATTAGGTGAGCAATGCCTTCCTTAGCGAATGTTGCTTGCATGTCTGAATCTCAAGCCCGTCGGAGCCATTGGATATCTCTTGAGTCAGCAACTTCGACCTGCCAGGATGAAAACAGGCTTAGGTGGATTCTGCAACGTCTGCTCACGAAGAGCCTCAAGAAGGATCGTGAAAACTGGTGGGCAGCAATAGCTAGTGAAATGGAAGTGGCAGCTGCACCAGGGAATAGTCAAATACTGTTCCGATTTATACGCAATGCGGCAGGTTGGCGATCTCCAGTTAACGAAACAATCTGCAATAAAAGGGACCAAGCCATTAACAAAAGGGAACAATGGCTTCATCGCTAGGTGGAATACTTCAGCGAACAGTTCAACTGGCCTGCCGGTAGCCAGGTTTGATCCGTTTATTTGAGTACATGCGTTTGTTCATTTACTCTTCTCCCTGTATTTTCTAGGCGGTAGATCTTTAGTCTAGATCGGTTTTGGAGATCCTGGAAGTTGACAGTGGAATTCGTAGCAATACGGTACAGTTTGATTTTCATTTTTAACCAGAGTTAAGTGGGTTTGCTATTCCGAATTTTTTCCTGCTGTTCTTCTTAGCTTCCTCCCTTACGCATACTGTGTGATCTGATGACAGGATGATGTTTTTTTAGCTTTCTATTGCGTAGACAAAGTAACTGTTGTACAAGTTTTTTTCGCTGTTTTTTAATTTGCCTAGTTGAATTTTCCTGTTTTTTTTCCAGGTCGGTGTAGCTGCGGCTTTATTAAACTACAATCTACGACAAGCATCACTGGAGCATTGCTTGAATGCGGTGGACGCGAAAGCGATTATCGTGGGGACCACCCTGCGTGATGCATTCCTCGAAGTCAAGGGAGACAAGAGATTCCCAGCCAGTATGATCTGGTACACAGATGAGAAAAGTAGCACTCCAGATTCCGCACATGCCATGACTACTTCATCTAAGGAAAGTTGGGATCAGAGGTTGGCTGCTACTCCATCCACTCCTCCTCCGCCCTTGCCGCGAATCAACAATCGAAGAGAGCATTTGATTTATGTGTACACAAGTGGGACCAGTGGTTTTCCGAAAGTAAGTAGTTTTTATAGTTCGAACCATTATTTCCTAAATGATTTAACTTTCAGTGTTTCCGTCTCGGCTTTTGCTCAATTTTTTTAAATCACACACGAAGTGATTTACAACAAAAGGGGGTAAACCCCATAGTTAATGACATACAGTAAGGGGGATGTATGTGGCGGGGCATTTAAGTGAGAATCAATTGGTTAATCTTGCTTTTGAAAAGAGTAAGATTATAAGTGCTCGAAAACAGGGAAATTGCAAGAGTGTTCCACAATTTCGCAGTCCTCGGAAACCAAGAAGACTGAAGGAAGTCTGACATCTTGGGACAGAAATATGATAAGGGTGACTACCCGCCTGAAAACGAGATGGACGAAAACAGGTTGATGGAAGGGGAACCGCTGAAGCGTTTTCGGATGAGCAGAAACCAAAATAGTAACGAAAGAGAAGAGATAATGAAGCAACTGCCTGGCGATAGGAAAGTGACTGCAGGTTAGAGGTTAAAGACGGTTCGTCGATCAACTGGATGGCCTTACGTCGAACACGGTCGAGGAGAGAAAGAGGAATACGAAGCTCCACCCCACACGTGACAGCAGTGTTCGAACATAGGGCGGATTTGAGCTTTGTATAAAAGGAGAAGGCGCTTGGGTGTTGAGAAGCGCTTGCACGTAATAGAAAACTGACTTTGCGCGCAGCGCGCCTCAGTATGGTGGAGGTGTGACTGGGATTGTGACTGGTCACCATTCCCTTACACCTTGCGAAATGCTCCTATATGATCAAGCGTCTCAAATAGCCTCTGCTGAGGAAGCCCTACTCACTGCCTTCTTGTGGCGGAGGTGTTTTCCCACCAAAGCGAGAGGACGAAAGACCGACATCCGGGGCTGTAACCGGTCGGTGAACCATTGGCAGTTCACCTAAGGTAGTTGGCTAAAAACCCTAATCCCCAACCAACCAAGACGAGGCGTAAGTACCACACGCACACTTTACTGGTTGCAGCAGTGGTCACCGGATCAGTTGGGCATCAAGGTATATTGGGCACGTTGGACGTTTGACCCCGTCCAAAGGGTGTATGATCAGATGAACTGGACACCGGCCCCCAATGGACTGCGGACTCTGGGCTCCGTCCTGTTGTCTTGCAGGTCTGGCTTTCAAGCCAAGGGCGTCGGGTGCAGACCCCGAGGTTATCCCCCTTCCTCGACCAGGGCAACCGGGAAGCAGCATGCCAACACAACCTCTGAACACATTCGTCAGATTTCTTTTTGTTCATATGTTGTGGCACATTTGCCAGATCTCTGTAATTGGTTACGTGTTAAAATAAATGATAAATAAAAATTTGACTGCCACCATTGGTGTCTTAATGTTATTATTATTATTAAATATTATTTCAACACGTAACCAATTGCACAGAACTGGCCACAAAATATGGAAAAAGAATGCGTCCATAGTTTACCATGATTTTTTCGGCTCGCAGTCTGGCCTCAAACGAGTGTCAAATATAATATATTTAATAATTGGAAATTTTGTCTTGAAGACGGGAAATTTTGTCCAGCCATTCACATACCGATATATATATATATATAATTGTGTCTCACAGGAGTCAGCAACCCTGATGGATCAAAAGCGAAAGATCCCATTCGGCCAGGATCAGCATACGGACCGGTGGTGCCTGCAACGTGAATTCAGGAAAAGCCTTAGGAAATAGCGCGAAAATTGGTGGGCCGAAATAGCTAATGAAATGGTAGCTTCTGCACCCGGGAATAGTCAAAGACTGTTTAACCTGATACGGAGCACCGGAGGTCGTCCCATACTGGTCAGTGAGATCATTTACAATAAAAGTGGACAGAGTATCCACAACAAAGAAGAACGACTTGATCGATGGGCAGAGTATTTTAGTGAACAGTTCAATTGGCCTGAGGCTAAAACGGTCATTCCAACAAATACAGCGGAAACTCCTGGGGTGGCAACATAGGAATTGGAAGTACGAAACTGCATTCAATCATTAATGAAAGGGAAGGCTGCGTGGCCTGATGGGCTTCTCCCTATTCTTTTCAAGGTGGGTGGTGATTCTCTCGTCGACTCGATTACTAGTTTACTTCGCAGCATTTGGTCTGAAGGAGCGTATCCCTTAGTCCTGGGGTGAATCGTTGATCGTCCCGATCTTCAAGAAGGGATCACGCGAAAACTGCACCAACCACCAAGGAATTAGTTTAGTTCCGATAATCACAAAAGTATTGACCTGTGATGGTTCATCGCTTGATACCCTTAAGAGAGATGAATATCCGCGAATAGCAAACTGGATTCCGACCAGGTCGCGATTGCATCGACCAAATCTTCACTCTGCGTCAAGCCCTCGAAATGCGTCACACACATCGTCGACCAACAATCGCCATGTTCCTTGACCTAAAGCGAGCCTTCGATTCAGTTGACCTTGAAGCTCTTCAGGGGTCGCTGCTTCGCAAAGGAATGCCGTAATAGTATGCAAACCTATCGCGGTCGATATACCTGCATACTTCTGGTAGCCTAAGGGTCTATGGTGGGCTAAGTAAATCCTTCAAGTCCAGGAGCGGTGTTCGTAAAGGGTGCCCTATTTCGCCATTCCTGTTCAATTTTGTCGTAGACGAAATAGTGAAGAACGCACTAAGTGGTCTCCAAAATGTTGGTATGGAATGGGCAGCTGGAGAAAAGCTATGCGATTTAGAGTACGCTGACGACATCGTTTCTCTGTTCGAATGTGTGAAGGATGCACGAAGCGCTCTTGACAGACTTTCAAGTTCTGTAGCTCTGTTTGGCATGCGCCTTGCACCTTCAAAGCGCAAAGGGATGCTGGAAGACTGGGTGCCGTCTACTCCGGCGTTGATGCGTAATGATCGTGAAGTAGTGGAATGTTTCTCCTACTTAGATAGCTGCGTTACAAATGACGGTATCACAGTCATTGAAGCAATCGCCCGCATTTCCAAGGCTCGAGCAGCTTACGCAGGATTGAAACACCTTTGGTGCAGACGCGATGTTTCGTTGAAACCGAGGGTTGTGTATACTGGGCCAGTGTGCGGTCAGTTTTGCTTTATGGTTACGAGACCCTAAATTTGCGCGTGGAAGATATTCGTCGTCTAGAAGTTTTCGACTGCCGATGTTTACTTAGTTTGGTGCGGGTTGGATGGAGCGAGCGTGTAAGCACCTCTGAGGTAAAACGTCGCGTATTTGGTGTTAATCGATGGAGAAATCGTTTTCCGATCGAATTCAGATTCGCAGGCTTCGCTGGTTGGTGCCCGTATTGCGCATGCTCAGCTGCCCACTATCGCTCCACGTCTTATTCGCAGTCGCGGCTTCAGGTTGGAAGAAATCACGTGGAAGTCAACAGATGACGTGGAAAAGAAGCTTGAATAGGTGCACAGAGTGATTAGGTAGATTAGCTGTTTTCCAGGTTTATTTCCAAAAGACTGCAATTGGTTGGCTGGAGACACTGAAGGGTATGGCAACTAGTCGACAGCAGTAGCGTTCTTCTTGTCATTTCTTATCAGGTCGGAATGCTTGAAAATGAATGTATTCGTCGTTAGGTTTTGCTCTCCGTGTTGACGATAGAGGTACACTCTCTTTTCCGCCCTCCAAATAGGCCTAATCAGTCTCCATCTTGTACTTTATTACTTAATTTGTGTTTATTGTGAGCTTGTTAGTGATCAGTGAAATTCGCTTCACTCTATCTCGCCGCACAAGATGATGATGGTACAGCCAGTAAGACATGCAGAACGTGAACTTGATAACACTTTTCTGGTTGGGGACTGCCCTGCTTGGGCCGGTGGTAGCTGCCAGCTGAAGTTCGAAAACTTCTCCCACTGCCAGGAGGAAGCAACAGACACGCAGCTCCTAAATCCATCTTTTTTTTTTGACCGGCGGACTGCCTCTCTCTGGGTTTGTTTGCTGAAATTACATCTCCGGAGACAAGAATGGATGAAAAAAGAAAACCAGGAGGTGCCCAAGCAGCTGGTGTTGTGTTGCTGAACTTCTGCTGGCCTCTTGCCATTGATCTTTTAGCTATGCTTGGATCTTCGGCTGTGAGGAACCATCCTATATAGCTCTCAGAGCCAAGGAGGTACGCAAGTTATCATACCACGTCAAGGTGCAGTCTCATCGAGATGGTGAACCACTAAAGCCCATATACTTAAAGAACACGTATGCTATGACCGCATTTCGTGTTTTTTCATGTTCGCTGGACATATCTACTCGAATAACCGTTGTTTAGGGTTGTTTGGGTAGCCATATTCGGTATGCGTTTTGCACCTTCAAAGTGTAGAATGTTGGTACAAGACTGGGTTGGTCCAGTACCCAACCTAACTCTTACTGGAGAAGTAATAGAGCAGGTGGATAAGTTTTGTTATTTGGGCAGCTACATCTCACCCGGTGGAAGCATCAAGGATGAAGTGTCAACTCGCATACAGGCGACTCGGTTGGCATTTGCTAACTGAAGACATCTGCGTCGCCGTCGCGACATCCGGCTGTCTGTGAAGGGTCGAGTGTATGCCGCGACAGTTCGGCCAGTCCTGCT